TGTTTAATAAAAAAGTGCGGATTGAATAAAACAAGAAATTTTAATCTCAAGCATCCCAGCACTAAGGCTTAAAAATTAGGATTTAATTATCAAATAATGAAAATTTAAATCTGAAGCCAAAAATTTTAAGTTTAAAAATTACGTGCTCCGCTTTCACAATGAAATTAAAAGAAAAAATTAAATTTTAAATCCCAAAATTCAAGTATTAAAAACATATATTTTTCATCTTTTCGAAAATCTGAATTAAAAAACGAAAATTTAATTATTAAACTCAACTTCATGGACAAAATTTTACATCCCAGCATACCAAATTCTAAATTTTTTATTAAAAAGATTCGCAATTTGGATTTAGTAACTTGCCGACTTTCGGAGTTATGTTTAAGGCCTCAAGTTTTCATAAAATCGTTTCATATAATCAAATATCTTACTTTTTCTTCATATAATAACGGTAACTTAAACTCAAATTTAATACTCACACTATTTACCGTAACCACTGCGATCTGCCCCATCCGCTCCACGCGCGTAGATAATTTCGCAGTCAGCCGCATCCGATGTACTTCATCACTTGTCCATGAATAAATCTTTGCTGCTCCAACTTGAAATCCGACATTTTTTATGCTACTCGTTATCCCCGAACATTAAGCGTAAGTATTGCAGATTCTTTTGTTTCCAGGCGAAAACTTGACGAGCGGCGCCGAGGCGGGCTGACGGTGGCAGGGAAAAATTGCGAATTTCCACTTTATCGATGCATTAAACTTTTATTACATTAGAACTGTGAAAAACACAGAGAAAAAATGTAGAATCGTTAGCAGATAAAACTACACAAAAATAAAAGGGAAAAAAATCAACAAAAACAGAAAACAAAGAAATAGTGAAAATCCATTAAATCGTCAATGGGGAAAATGCAAAACTATCGAAAAGCAAAAATACAAGAATTCGCCAATAAGAAGAAATCAGCGCCAAAATGAATGAACAAATCAAAGTATTCTAATTTATAAAAGTGGAAAAGGCTAAAATGGACAAGAAGAAAGTTGCTGAAGAAATATTGCTGAAGAAATAGGAAAAACTGCACATAAAGGAATGCAATGCCAACAAGCAAAGGGACGAATGCACACACAGCACTTACCAACTTCGACAGGGTCGGAGAATGGCATGAGCGTTCTTCAGCCAGGGAACGGGCTAGCGACAAAATGGAGTAGAGTTTGGCGAACGGGTCGTAAGTTTAACGCACGATTGCATATGGCAGTCCACAGGAGCGCATCAAGTTTGGGTACACCACAGACAGCAAAACGGTGGACACTTACCGCTGAGTGCTTATATATACTAAACAGTGACTCGATGAGTATCTCTGTGTGTGTAGGTACGAGTTAATGCATGAATGAGAACTGTGGTATATATAAGGCTGTAAATATACATGTAAGTAGCATGAAGCGTCCACTTTAAACGAGTTTCGAACGCCTAGCTTGTGGACGTTTTAACGTGCGGCACACCTACGAGGGTGTTGGAGTGGTCCACTTCCGCAGGCCCTATTCACTTGATTGCACAGCTGAAAAGTGAGGAGTCACAGTGCTGCACATACTGCCAGCGACAAGCTGTTGTTGGCGGGCGAACGGATGAGCAGGCGGTCGCGTGGAGTGCTGTGGGCCGGCACAAGTGCATGGAGTTGCAAATAACGAGAGCTTAGTGAGCTGATATTACGATGAAGCGATGACAACAAATCGGTCAACTGGCATTAATGCGACGGGCAATACGAAAAACACAAAAAGCGAGTTAACGAAAAAGGCATCATCCAGTCGTTTGTGAGGGCTGTGGCGGTGGTACTGGGAGGGTACATAGCAGGGTTGCAGGAAAGGTGGTTGGCTCGCAAATACTGCACAAAAAAAGGAATCAAAACAAAGAGCGCAAATAAAATCACACACACACGTAAGTTAGTGTCAAATAGTGTCTGCTGCTGGAGCATGAGAGACCCAAGTGTGCTATCATTGGTGTGTTGGGGCAGCGTAGTAACGGCGATTGGGAGTTGATCTCCCACAGTGACACACATAAAACCCAAATGAAATGGAAAGAAGTGACGCGGAAACGCATTTGAATTGCATTTGGGTCGGGTGGGTCGGCAGGCTGCCGAAGTTGCAATGAGCACTAGGATAATTTTGATTTTTTATTGCGTTATCGAGCAGCTGGACAGCAAATGGGAAATGCATTTTAAACGTGCTTACTTATTTATGGCATGCTAATATTAAAAAAAAAAAATTGTTTACGCCAAAAAAGAAGAAGAACAATGTTGTATCATGTTTACGCTTAAAAACAATACTTTTTTTTTACAGCTCAAAATACTTTTGTAACAACTTTGTAGTATTAATTAATATGCCTGAATTTTCGTTTCATTTGGCAAGCTTCGACACACATACATACATGCACAGCTTTATTGGAAACGTGACGAAAATCAATAAGCGCTAACGAACTACTCAACGTCGCACATATGCTGGGTGTAAACGACCGGCGCGTTAAGGTGACCATCAGCAGCCAAACACATTTGCCGATGCCTACGCGAAGCAAGTGAGTCTCAGAAATTTTATTATATTCTAAGTCGGTAAAAATTGCGTTTTTTATGCCCTGTGCGATATTGGACCACTATAGCATATAGCATACATACATATGTAGTTGTCATACAAATCGACATATCGAAATTATGACTTTGTATGGAAATTTTTTTATTTGATGAGATATCTTCACGAAATTTAGCACGAATTATTATCTCAGACAGCGATACAAATTTCCAAAAAATTATTCAAATCAGTGCACTATAGCATATAGCTGCCATACAAATCGAACTCTCAAAAACAAGTTCTTGTATGGAAAACTTTTTCAGTTAATGAGATATCATCACGAAATTTTGAACGACCTATTAGCTAAAACAATGTTATAATATGCAGAGAAATTGTTCAGATCAGATCACTATAGCGTATGGCTGCCATACTAATCGAACTTTCGAAAACAAGTTCTTGTATGGAAAACTTTTTTAGTTGACAAGATATCTGCACGAAATTAGGCAGGAATTATTATCTGAAACAGTTATATAATCTCACAAAATATAATTCAAATCGGAGCACTATAGCATATAACTGCCATACAAACCCAAATTCCAAATTCAAGTTTTTGTATGTAATCCCTTATATGTGTGAAGGGTATATAGTTTCGGTGCAAGCGTACTTAACGTTTTATGTTGTTTTTAATATTTCATTACGTTCATCTCTCAAAAAACACACACATATTCTTAAATACATAAAGCTATCCAGTTATTTTAAGCGAGCCAGTGGAAGCCTTTCTGCTTGATCTTGTTAATAACTCAATAATATAGGTGAGCGTACTAGCCAAAAAACACGAACTTAAAAGCGCCAATTGCGATACACTAATACATATACAAAAGTGCGTTACAATTTCCGGCAAGCGGGTGACAAAGCGCGTTCAGCTGCCAATTTACCCAAACAAACACACACACAAATACAGAAACATTCCAGTAATGTTAAGAATATTGATGTCCGACTGTCGTGCAATCGTCAGATTCTATGGAACTCCAAAACGAATCAAAACAAAAATCCCCCTTGGGCACTGTCAGGGTTAGCCTCGCATCGGATGATGTACAATGTGTCACACTACGCAGCGAATGCCAGTTCAGTTGTTGGTGGGGAATAATAGAATCGTTGCGTATATTTCCGATATAAATACTAGTTTATTTGGTTTTTAAAATTAGTTGATAACTAGAAATTGAAGCGTCTACACAAATAGCCAATAAATTGACACAAAATGTCGCACAAACTGTGTGTTGTTTACGGAGTCCTTAGTATCCTTTTGTATATCACAGCAACCGTACAAGCGGGTGTACTACGCGCTGACAAGCCAGCTGAGTCGCCAGTAACAGAAGCACAGGCCAACGAGAGCGTACAACCGGAGAGCACAACCATCGATATTATTGTTGCCGATGAAGTGGCGCTCAGCAGAGATGAAGATGCGACTGTGAAGATTGATATTGCCTCCTTAGATCCGGCACCGGACACGGTCGAAGGCATTGAAATCACGTTGGACACAGTCGACGTTAAAACTGAGGAGCCAAAGCAAGACGAGGCGGCTGAAACGCAAACCGAAACCGCGCTGAGCAGAGATGAAGTCAATGCGCACGAAACTGTTGATCTTGCACAGAACGTACCAGCCAGCAGCGTGGAAATCACAGGCACACCACAAAAGTCGTCCAAGCTGCTGTTGCTGAGCACACCAAGACTGGCACGCGAACAGGAGGAAAATATTGCCGAACCCGAAGATGTTGATATCAACACCGCCTTATCCACGGATGACACCACCGAGCTAAGCGTTGAGAATCAAAATGACAATGACAAGTCTAGCGCGGAAAGTGAAGAGCAGGACACAAGAGACGCCACTGAAGAACCCAACTTTCTAACACGTGTACGCGATGCAATTTTTGGCAAAAAACCAGCAGCGGAAACAACGCAGGCAACTTTGGATGGGCAAGAGGTTGCGTCAACACCGAGCGATGAGGTGTTAAAGGCGGATAAGGATGAGATTAAGAAAGACGAAGAGGGCGCCAAACCAGCCGTTGCTGAACAGGCACCAGCGCCACATAATGATAATGCAGCGACCGCTGTGCTAATCGAAAGCGAGGCTGACTATGTACTCGTCGACAGCGATGTCGAACACCTGGAGCATTTGGGCAGTTTCACACATGCCGAAAGCGAGGAATACCTGCAGCCCATAGTTCATTCCGTGGAGGTGGTGCCATCGCATTTTGAGGAACCGCTGCTCTTCACCACCAGCTACGTGCATGCTTGGTAGTTGGATAGCGTGGATCCTGGCAAGCAGTTATTGTTAAATTAATTTTAATGTCATGTTTTAGTTGCTCGTGCTTAGCGTTTCTTCCTTTTCACTTTTGTCGCAACGCCGCTTTTCATGCTTTGCGCAAATAGTTATAGCATTCCAATCCAAAGTGTAAAGTAACGATTTTTATAATATAGACAAATATTATTTTTTTAATATAACTACAAAATGTGTTTTCAGTTAGTTTGCTATCATCACATGGAAACCGCCTGAATCCAATTTCGTGCATCTTATTGGCTTACACAAATATTTAGTTTGCGCTAGTTAGCTCTTCACTTTGAAATAGGAATTTCATTTTGTGTGTATGTCGCCGACACAAAGTGGATTTGCTGTAAACTCGTTCGGGTGTCGACGGTGTCCTGCATTTGCGCATATCAGTGTCGACATGCATGGCTGCAACCGCAAACTCAATCACCAGATAAAAAGTTTATCCACATAACAGACAATTTACCAATAAAGTTGCCATATTGTGTTAAATTTTTAGCGGGTTGGCTTGAAACCTCCGTTTTCTAAATCCCAAAAGTACACCTTTTTACAACAGCGAACTTTGTCTGCACTTTAAATGACGTGACAGCTTTCGGCCGCGATTTCAAAATTTAACCCTGGCCGATTCAATACCGGGTTTCTTTAGTTCTTCTGCTTAGAATTCACTTTTGCAATGGTGGCCTATGTTTGTGCTTCAAAAATATAACTTTGCTCGATCCATCAACGGGGTATCATTAGTTCTTTCGCTTAGAACTTAGTTCTGTTTTCAGTGATGGGCTTCGATCGCGCTTTAAAAACATAACTCTAGCCGATCCAATACAGGGCTAACATCAGTGCTTTTTCTTTGAACTTCTTCTGCTGTCGCGGCTTTCAACTGCTCTTTGAAAACATAACCCTGCCTCATCTAAAATCGGAAAATTCTCAGTTTTTTCACTTAGAACTCATTTTTGAAATGACGGGGTTAGGTATCGCTTTAAAAACGCAACCCTAGTCGATCCAGCATTGGGGTATCATAATTTTTTTGGCTTGAAACCTTTTTACCTAGGTGGCCTACGACCGCGGTTAAAAAGCATAAATCTGGACGTTCCAACACCGAGATATCATTAGCTCGTTCTTTTTTGGGAGTTGTAGAGACTCTCTCAATCTTCGAATCGTAGATAAATAAAATTGTAATAACATCTGTCAGGATCAGGATCAAGAAGAACCTCTCCAAGTCGTTCGATAACAAACGAGGGTTCAGACAAGGCGACTTATTACCGTGCGACGTCTTCAGTCTACTGCTTGAGATTCATCTTTCGACGAATAAAGACCAAACTCTATAAGTCTCTTATTATTATTGCCTTCCTGCTAGCTGGTGCGGCCTTAGAAGTGTTCGAGCGAAATGTTTTCGGAAAATTTATGATATTTTTATCATTGGCAATGGCGAATACCACAGTCGATGGCACGATGAGCTGTATGAGCTATACGACGACTTTGACATAGTTCAACTCTGAGAGTATTTGACGCAGTACCCGCTGGTGGAAGCAGAGAAAGAGGGAGACCTTTACGCCGTTGGAAGGACCAGGTGGAGAACGACCTGACTCCACTTGGAATCTCCAATTGGCGCTAAACAGCGAAAAAGAAGAACGACTCTACGCCAATAAAGAATAAAAGGAAGACACTTTTAATTTGAACTGAACAGCCCAGAGATGGCAACTCCCACTCCAAACATAATTCCTGGTTCTACTTCCGCTGAACCGACGGTTACCAATAAAGAAATCGCACTTTATTTGAATTTTAATTTCGAGCAATGTGGCAACACTCGCACCAGTAACACCGACTGTCCCTTGATGATGACCTTGCAGCATAACATTTATTTTACTTTTCAACACATACTTAGGTGACAAATATTTTGCCACTTTTTTGTGACCTTACGCCACGGGTATAAGCAATTTTCCGTTCAAACACTTTGACGACCACCAACACATGGACACATGGAGACGCTTGCAACCGTGTGCACATGTAATATGGAAAGTACATTACTGCGGCTGCATAAGTTTTCCCTAATGTGACCAACAAACCACCAGCGCCAGTGTCCATGCCACCACAACAACATGCGCACCACCACGCAGCACAGAATTGAAGAGGCGGCCAAGAGCTGGTTTCCACGGTTTATAATGGGGTGGAGGCAAGCGGCAGCGGCAGCGCTTATAAAAATAGGATGTCATCAAGCAGCGCTGCACAAACTCACCTGACACAGGGGGATCCGTTACAGTCAAACGGTAGTGAAGGTGTGTGGGAACTGACGCCTGTGGGTTTATGAGGTAGCTGTGCGCTGGTGAGTAGACACTGTTGGCGCGCGCTGTTGGCCCATGTTGTGGGTTGGTTGGAGATTTACTTCAAATGGACTTGAAAATAGTTTTCACAGCCACTGATGAGCTGACGCCGGTGCAAGGCTTTGGTTGCAGAACAGCAACACACATTCAATAAACTCGAGCACCTACTTATGTGCTTTTGAATGGGCATTAGCAGGTGTGTGCGTGCCTGTGTGTGTGTGCGTACATCACACACGTATACCAATACACTAACTAATGCAAAGGTAGCGAAGCGGCGGTGCGGAGTTATAATAAATTCTGGGCGCGGGGCGCATTTGAGCTGGCAACTGACGGCGACAGCAACACTTTGCACTTCGACGCCCGTTCGTAATGCGACAACGGCGTGGCAGCGCGCGCTCTTAACTGCTGAGTCGCCAAGCTTCATTGAATGTGCAAATCCGCGAGAGTGGTGAAAATGTGGCGATGTTTTGGCAAAGCGCTGAAATGTTTAAGAGCAACAGCGAACAGCGGTGACGACAAAGTAAGCACCACAGCAGCAGCGTAACTCCAAGACGTGGCGACGTAAGCGCTGTGGATGCGGAGACCTAAAGTTTCATATGTTTTGGCAGCAGAAGTTCAAGCAACGCTTGATGTAGCGGCGGCAGTGCACCGACTTGGCAAAGTAAAAGCCAGTTGATTAGAGCAGCGCCGTTGGTGGGGCGCGGTGCGAAAATTTGTTGCCAGCGTGCGGCTAGCGCGGCTAATGTGCAACATGGAGTGCCACATTATGTGCGCTGTTTAAGTGCATATAAATTTGCGTGTGTTGGTGTATACATACACGCCCACTGTAGGAAAAACTCTTACAAAGCGACGTACGACAATGGCATGTGGACGCGCAGCGGTGAGGGGAAGTACGTGTACATAGTAGATGGAGCGTAGAGTAGAAAGGAAGTGTAATTGAATTTTCATGAGGTAATAATTTCTGCGCATACAAGTGTGAGTGCATTTGTGTGTGTGTTCACATGTGTTAATGTATGGGACCGGGGCACTTTTCATTGCTTTAAAATTTCTGAGTGCTAAATTTTGTTCATACAGCGGTGTGTGTGTGTGTGTTGGAATTCAGCTAAACCGAGACCAACGTATGTTGCAGAATTATTTATGTACACAAAAACAAGTACAACTGAAGATATCAAAGCATATGTGTAAATATACATATGTAGTATATACCAGCAAAGCTGTAGAACCTGCGTTTCTTTATAGCTACATTGGAAATTTTTCTTGTTGCCTTTGAATTTAACGCAGGCATAACGAAGTGCTGGCAACACAGCGCCGACACAGCCTGAAAAGTGTGAAAAATATACAAGTGCGGGCGTACAAAAATCAAAGCATTTCAAAATCGTATAATCTGCGCATAATGCGCAAATTCAATTTCGCGCCTCAGAAAGCTCTTTAAAGTTTGTAGAAGTTAAAGAGCTCATTTCAAATATGTTTGTGGTGAAAAAAGAAAGCAAAATAAGAAGAATTGTTAACTAAGGTTGCACAGAAGCTAGTATACTCTACACAAATAATGAAGTTTTTATACAAAAACTCGATTTTGAGAGGTCAGTTTGTATGGCAGCTATATGTTATAGTAGAGCGATCTGCATAATTTTCACAGAGATTATAGCCTTCTTTAAAAAAGTAGTACATGCCAAATTTTATGATGATATCTTGTCAATTAAAGAAGTTTTCCATACAAGATTTTTTTCGGTCGTTCAGTTTGTATGGCAGCTATATGATATAGTAGTCCGATCTAGAAATTTTTTGCAGATATTATAGTCCTTCAGTAGGTAATAGTCCTTGTCAAATTTCATAAAGATATCTTTCTAAACAAAAAACTTTTTCATATAAAAGTATAATTTTTAACCTTTTTTGTATGGCAGGTATATGCTATAGTGAGTTGATCTGAATAATTTTTTCGGATATTATATTTTTGCTTCTGGCAATAATCCATACCAAATTTCGTAAAGATATCTCGTCAAAAACACAAATTTTCCATACAAGAACATGATTTTGATGGTTCAGTGTGTATAACAGCTATTTAAAATAGTGATCCGATCTAGAAACTTTCTTCAGGTATTATAGTGTTATTTTAGCTAATAATATCTGCCAAAATTCATAAAGATATCTTGTCGACTAAAATAGTTTTTCAAACAAGAACTTTATTTTAAACGTTCAATTTTTATGACAGCCACATGATATAGTGGTGCGATATCGGCGATTCCGACAAACGATAATATTCTTGGATGGAAAAGCACGTGTGTACAATTTTAGACCGGTACATCAACAATTAAAAATTAAGAGACTAGTTCGCATATAAAAAGACGGATATGGCTAAATCAAATCGGCTCGTAACGCTCAACTTCGATCGATATTACTTTTCAGGGTCTCTGATGTTTCTTCGTGGATGTTACAAACTTCGTGAAAACTTGTTCAGGCTATGATAAAAACGAAAATGGAAAATAAATGCTTCCTGGTTACCATTCGCAAGTAGATGCTTAGACACTTGCCATGCAAGACTCGGCAATTTTAATGCAAATAAAAGTTTGTAATTTTAAAGAATTATAAATGTCAGCCAATCTTAAGCACATACCAAGCTTTTTTATCGCATTTTTCTTTGCTGTACCACAAGTCCGGTAAGAGTGATTGATAATAAAATAAGATGCCTTTCCCCCAAGCTGCGTCTAAGAGCAACAATTGTAATAGAAAATATTTCATACTAACAAGT